AATTACAATTGGAACGCGTGTGTCTACAATGACGATTCATGTTAATTAATTGGGCATAAATATATATAAGAACCCTTTCACATTTATCATATACTTGTATGGCATTATACATTTTGGCAGAGAGATAAAATAGATGGAAATAAGAGCCAGGAATTAATGTTTCAACTTTAAAAGCGAAAGCAATTTACTGAGTGACACGCACGAGAGCTGTTGCTGGTGCCTGCACTGCCTGCCTGCCTACTTCTGGCATGCTGCAACCTGTGCTATCATTTATACACAAGAGATTGCAAAATTTAAATTTCCCAGAGAGCGTGAAGGACTGGAGTACATAATTTTTATCGACGCTGAACACATTTAAAACGTGACTTTATGCAACTATTGAAACACCGATACAAAAATACAGTCTTCTAATTGAAATAGCTCTCGGCGATAAAGCAATAACGCGCAACTCTTGTTTTTCCGCGTGCACAAATCGATTTTTTAATTCAAGCGGAATTTTCCTCTAAAATCAAATAATGGCCGCGTGAAAGTATAAAACGAAATTTGAAAAACGATCCAGCCGAATTGCACCGTCGTTTCCGAGACTGATCAAAATTCAGCCTTCGCCCCCATCACAAAGCAGAAATCTCGCTGGTTCTAGCCGAGATACCGTTTCGTATATAATATTCCAAACGAGCATGCATATCGATGTGTAAACCGCTTTGAGCGCCTAATTGCTTTATGCCGAGTAATTCGGCTTTATTCAAGATGTTAGCGATCACGCGAGCGAGCTTTTACAGTATTTCAAAATACCTCAAATTCGCTCGTGAATGTATCATCCTAATATGACGAGTTAGTCGAAATCTCCGAGAAAGTAAAATGAAAGAGCCATTGCCGATATACCCCGAGCGATTCTTGCCTCGAATTACTCGCGAGCTTTTGCTTTGACTGAGCAGCAAATATGCGCGCAATCGAATTTAAACGGCACACGCGCATCGTTGCTTTGTGTACGTATATAAGCTTCATGCGCGATGTAACGAGCACCAAGCGCTGATAAGCTTTCCCAAGCTTTGCATAAGCAATTCCGAATAAAGTATAATGGTGCGGAGGAGGAGGAGGAGGAGGAGGGGGGAGGGGGTGTGGCTCGGTCGGAGTACAACGCAGTGCGAGTACGGCGAGGATCTCTTTGGCATTATCTGTACACGTGTACAGGGAAAAGCGAGCGCGTAACACACTTTGAGCGTCCGAGCTAATATTGTGCGGTATAGCGGTGTACGCAATTGTGTGGCATTTCGGAGGCTAATTTCACATACAGCAGTTAACGAGCGATTAACCGATTTACTAATGGCCAAGACGTGAATTGCGAGTGTATATTTAGTCCGGCGCGGGCTATATGGTCTCTCTCTCTCTCTGTGCTGCTCTCGATATCGGTAACATACACTCGGCTCTGTGTATGTGTGTGCTGTAGCACCCTCGAGTATCAAAGTTGCGCTACCTTTTGGACTGCGCGATGGCAGTAATTCGACCAGCATCGTATTACACACATATATATTATTATTCCACTGATATAGGGGCATTATCTGTTCCGAGTTATGCCGTATAAATCTTGAACTTGCGCTCATACGTCTCACGGGTGCGCGCACACTTCGCCGTAAGAGAAACGTTGTACGCGTGTAATTTCAGGCAACGCGTTTATCTGTACAATTAATGCGCCGAATAAATAAGTCACTTTTTTTGCGGATAATCGTGCGAATGAAAATGTTTTTATTAAAACACATACGAGCCATCCACTTGTGGCATTGTTATGCAAATATGTTTATTTAAACAAGCCTCGTAGGCTCATAAAATGAGCGAGGAGGTTCGTTTTACGAGCTTACGAACGTGCAATGCTAGTGTGGACACGCGATGACATTTTCTTTTCTTTTTTGTCTATGGCGCACTTATAATTTTACGGTAAAGGAACTTTTTATGAAGCTGGACATTAATTTTATTTTTAATATTCGTTATTCGCGCTTCTTTCGAATAACAATTTACTTGATGGGTTATTAATTTTTTTATAGATCGAAGAACGACGTGACTGTTATATACTGAGATGAAATTCGTAACGAATTCGACATTAAATTTTTTGATGTATAAAATTAGCAACAAATACAGAATTAATAAAAGATCACCGAGTGACAAAGCGCAGAATTGTCAGGTTAATCAGGTGACAGTTATAAATAACGTCTATCGATTTGCAAAGCTTGTAAAATATGAAAAAAGCACGTTTGATGTATCTGATAATTTTTCCAGAAATAAAATATTTATCATTTACTTGGAATTGAAATTTGCAATGCAAACGATCGCTATAACGTGCACAGCTCGAATAAAACTGGGGTATTTATTTTAGACGCGAGAGAGAGAAAATCATTGATGAACAAATCTCGATATAAATAAGCGCGTTGTATTGAATTACACACGCGTACAGGATTACATTGATTGCGTCTCTGATCCTTTCTTTCACAATCGAATAATGCTCTTTATCACCCGAGTGACTTGCCTCTTGAGTTAGAGAAACAAAGAGAGGAAACATAATCTCATAGATAAATAAGCTGAAAATGTTTAAGATAAAACAAGTCTCGCGATGAATATTAATATACAAAGCTCGGGCCGACGAAAAGTAATGTTGGACAAAGCCCATTAAACAATCATGCACTTGTTCGTTGCGCCCGCGCGCGCGCCTGGAAATTAGCATTTAAATGAGAGCACAAGAGCAACAAACCTGAGGGGTAGGTACCGAGCGCATTCTTACGACCGCGACATTTCATATCCAGAGGGTCAGGGATGCTAATGGGAACGACCGACCGCCACCGAGCTCTCGTGCTTATTTGCCAACTTCATTCATCCGTTAACTCGGAGTATATTCATTAACATTAAATAAGATTGCTGAGTAGTTTGGGCTACGCGGCAGAGAGAGCAGCGATGTTCATGATATTTCATTTTAATAATGCTCCATCGGAGAGATGTTTAAATGGCTTAACTGGTCAAGATGCATTTCAATGGAGAAAAAAGTTAACGTGAATTTATAACGTACTTTTTGATGAAAAATAGAAAAATTGGCATGTTTCTCGAGACGAAGAGTACTCCTTTAATTATTCGTGTGTTTTTTATACCAATGGCTCGAAATTGCTATGTGCATTGAAAGTTTGAAATGATATATTAATCATGCCACGTATATAAAAATTTGTTTCTACGATACAGGTCTGATTGGCAAAGCTATTTAAAAAACATTTATTCATTTCCTCATTGATCGATATTTTATAATACCTAGTTTGCAATTACAATTGCATTAGCATTTGGAACGACGCGGTTGTATGAAAAAAAATTGTGAACCTTAATTTACTACCCGTTATTCATGCATGTTTTTAAAAAATTTTCAATCTACCGTGTGATTGATTTCACGAAATTTCGAATTAATTGAAATTGAAATGCTAGTTTATAAAATTATCGGGAAAAATTTTTTTGTTCATTATTTCAATCTAGAATAGTAAAAAAACGTAATTTCACGAAATCAAATAGCAAAATGAAAACCACAATACTTGTAACGATATTGGCCAAGGTTGGATTTATAGAGTTGAAGTGGAGACAATCGAGTTGAATATCTTTTGAATTATTGCCAAGAAATTAATTGGAGAGCAAAGTTTGATAATATAAGGCTTGGAATTAATTTTAATCATATGGTTACGAATATTTTTCAGCGATGAAAAATAAAATTGTCACTCTCAACAGAAGCTAATTTCTAAAAATAATGCCAGGCCTGCGGATTTCAGCTCGTCATAATTCTTTTCTCTGCAATGACAGTGATCCGACTCAACAATCTTTTTAGGTCGTTCGCTTGGTGCAGCTCTTAATTAGCTTACACAAGAGAGGAAGAGGGTGAGCTTGCGAGTTTGCTATTCTTCATCGTCAATCTGATACACTCCGGTGTCAGTAGGGGTATACATTTTCCGAGCCTAAGCTAGCTCCGACTGGAAAACTAATTTTATATTTGATGAATTCATTTAAAATTCGCCGAACTTTATACGCGATGAATTATATGACACACAACTTTGTGAAAGTAACATTTGAAGAAATTGCGTTTTATTCAGGGTCACAAGTAGCTCTCTCAGTTCCCCTAGCAATAAAATTATAAATTCAAATGTAGAAGTAGCAACATATAAAACTCTAAAAAAGTGAAATTAGTTCAAACACTTGTGTGGTGATGTTTGCACTAAGATGTATAGATTAAAACTCGTATATAAGGCTATTCCAATAGAAGTGCCACGTATAGTTAGTTTAACTTTTATAAAACCAAAAGTTGATACAATCAAGCTTAGCACGTGGGAGAGCCAAATTCCCAACTGATAGTTGTCGCTTAATACATAGCAATGTGCACAATCGGTTTGTCCGAGAAAAAAAGAAGAAGAAAGTTGCCATGAGATCGCGCGTCCAGTTATAAGTAGTCCCTCGATGGCAAATGCATTTTTACTTGCTCCGTACGTATATATACATGTTACTGCCGAGATCCTTTTCCCGTCCGCAGAGAGATGAAACTTTAAAGATGTTTAAAGCTCGTTACTGACTTAATGTACTACGTGTCTCACCTACTCTCCGGTCCGACTTTACAGAAATTTTCTGCGATCCTTTCTATATATACGCGGGCGAGAGTGCGTATGTCCGAACACGTCTAGCCCCGAACTCCTAAAGTTTGCTTCCTTTTTTATTGCCAACTCAATTTCAAAAGACTTTTTCCCCGAGATTCAAAGTTGAATTTAGATCGGCACTAGAAGAGAAAGAGAGAAGCTTAATCAAAGTCTACGAGTAAAAGTGTAACAAGATAATTGCTTCTGTAGTTTTCGAAATGGCTCTTCCGCCTCTCGCCTTGCAGATCGATTAAAATTAGAAAACAAGCTGGCACACCTATTATACACTATAATACTAAATAATCCTATACATCTAATGAAATCGCGAATTGAAGTTTTTTTGTTACTTTCACATTGCAGGCGAAGCCATGGACATCTTGGCGCTGATGAACTCGGCGATTAATTTCATCCTGTACTGCGCGATGAGCCGGCAGTTCCGCACGACCTTCCACAAGCTGTTCTGCCGCTGGAAGTTCTTGAATCGATGGCTGCCGGTGCCGCAGCAGGCGGAGAACAACAACGGTCACACGATGAACAACACGGTGACGCAGGTGACCCACGTGTAGCATCGAGACGCCCGTCGACGATTGTCCAGCCGCTGCTGCTGCTGCTGCAGAAGTCGCAGCAGCAGCCCCTGCTGATCTTTGTCGCCTCGCACGCACTTCGCAGCGGCTATCGCATCAGCTGTGAGATTTCATTATCGAATACATACGTATCCAAACGCGCACAAGTGTTCCTTCCTCGAAAGTCGAAAGCTCAGAAGAATAATAATTGCCAATCGAGAGCAGGACTTTTTATCGGGTATTTTTTTATGTACGTAGTGAGGAGTGAGTGTAAATGTATAATAATAGCACAGAAGATTGGCCCATTGTAATTATTATGAACGAAAAATCGGAGGAAATAGGATGACTGTATCAGTACTTATCTGCTTATACTCGAATCGTTATAACATTTGAACGAGTTTTAAAGTTATTATCTGAAAATAATATGCAAATTTTTGTTTATTAAAATGAATAATTTAATTGCAAGAGAAAACTAGAACCGAATACTAGACCTTAATTTCTTAACCAGTCGGTTATTGGTAAAGTCACTCTATTAGCTTGAGTTTAATGTAAGTCTGCTATTTGAGCAAGGGTGTATAATTCTTTTAACCTATTTTTATTTTGGTCGTTGAGCATCGAACATGACGAGTACACTCGTAGAGTAATATAATGTGCACACGAGCTAGCAACTTGTTAATTCCTTAACTCGACAGCTGTTGCGTATTACGTATAATTATGCTCGGAAAGAGACGAAAGAAAAAAAGCTTTCCGAGCTTTCGAATTTAATTACTGCTATGCTCGTGTTTTATACATAAGCACACGTTTTTGCGTAAATCGAATGAAAGTTTATATATTTTTTCAAAATGGGGCCGAGATCGAAAAGTCGGGACCGATTTAACTTTCTGCTCGGGCAATCATAATAATAACGTCGCGGCTTCATTAAAGCTCGACTGTGCATATTATACATGTTATATAGATGTGTGTCGTAGGTATATGCTACGTGAGCTTTCCGTTGGTCAAACTTTGGCTTGCGAGCGACGCGTGCTGATGCAGCCAAATGTAAACCGAGGAACTTTGATATGTGTGGCGGATCGTCGCGGGCGTGTTTTTTCTACTTTAACGATGATAATAAGGATAAGCTGTAATTATAAGGAATGAGCGTAGATCGTTGAGCGAGTGATAATAAATGAGATATTATTAGAAAAATGTGTGAAAAATTATAAGTAAAATAAGACAAGCGTCTTTTCCAACATTTATGTATCATATTTGCTGAAATGTTGAAAATATTTTTTCCATCGCGTTTTCGTATTTTTTTCGTCGATATTTCCTAGCGACGTGTAGTGAAGCCTCCAGGAACTTTATTCCACTCCATCGATGTATAGAGCACACCTATGATAAATCGAACACCCACACACACACGACAACAGCATGTTAAATATAATACAATACATTATCGTAAAAAGCGAATTTCGAAAATGATGAATTCTCTATGCGACTCTTGGCTGTCTTTTTTGCGGGATATTGTATAGGCGAACGCCGCAAGATAATTCGTCGGAATGATGTGCGAACGAGAGCTAGAATAGCTGTATAGGTGCGAATTGTGCACGTGCGCACGATGTTCACGGACCGGAAGCACCGAGGTTATATGCGCGTTGATCGAGTGTATTTTCAATTGAGTTTGATCGATATAACGTCACTCTTAATAAATATAATACGCGCAGGCCATGACGCGAGCTGCAACTCCCCGTCTATGTACATGTATATTACATTATAATGCCAAATCTGTATAATGTATAACACGGAGCACTATATGGTACGTGTAAATGTACTTTCATCATTCATCCATGAAAGGATCCGCGCTGGTAACGCGGACAAGCGGATTATTATTAAAGCTTAATTTTCGAGCTAGTCAATTCGATTAATATTTGCAATATTATACCAGTATTATACGATTTTTTTCGCTCGTTCTGCACCGACTCTAGTGCGAATTTAGCGAAAAAGGAAAGAGTAAAGATACAACGGAAAGATCCTTGATATATGTATAAAAATATATACACGAAGCCAAGTCGTAAGAGAGAACGAGCGAGAAGGCTTATATATGTGTATATGGAAGTGCAAAAGATCGCGTTATTCCCCGAGAAAACGAGAAGTCATACGCGCCAGAGGTTCATACAGCTTGCACGCATACACGAGCTCGATCCGAAAGAGTCTGAGAGAGAAAGAGACTGGGCGATAAAGAGAAAAGTAGCGGCAGCATCGGGGGCCGCAGCAGCGTATCCCGCAATGGGATCGTAAGGTGAAAAAAAACGAGTCTCCAGCGTGGTCAGGGCCAACCAAGCCTCGGCGCGCACAGCCTCTCGTATACTCGCGCCGCACATACACACGTTATATAGACGCAGCTGCGATAAGCCACGTAAAGTGAAAACGTACCAGAGCTTTTCGGAGGCATGGACAGTATATCGCTGCTCTTCTTTTTTCTTTTCTTTCTTTTTGCTTCATCCTACTCCTCCCTCTCTGTCTTTCTTTCTTTCTCTTTCTCTCGCGAGCCTGTACTTCAAGTTTTTATCAAGAGAGATGCTTCTCTCGCAAGCTCTCTGTGTATACACAGCTGCCACACGTGCAGCCCCGCACGCAATGCCCGCGAGAGTATATAAATGTTGTGTTTGCCGTTGGAATTTTTCACGGAGTACACGCGTGTATATAGCTCGCGAGGATTAACGGATTATCGGATTCGACTGAAATAATTGGCTGAGAGAGTAGCGGCCCCGGCTTCGTGTTTTATATCACACTCGCGCAGCAGCGCACGAGGAGTACGTTTTACTTCCACGCGAAATTGATCGATAGCCAATGATTCGAACTCCAGTTGTACGCTCGTGTTGGAAATTGGCCAGGTGACTGACCGACTTTTTCTTTTTCTTTTTTTTTTTTTCTACAATTGGTAGGAACGATTGGACCCTCGAAATTCCAAGTGGTCTATTTCCATGCTCGAGTTTTAAAATCGGGATCTCCCCTTTACTTTTCCGCTGAAACTTTTTTCAAACTGCACTCGCGGTGGCAGAGAGAGCTTTCGCACGAGGTTAGAATTACCGGAAAACCGCGCGTAATCCCCTGGGTACTTTAATATTTTGCCTCCGAAGGCACGCGAGCGCGTATGAAATTGAGAGATCCTTCGTAATCTCGGTGAGCTAGCGCTTCGTGCTTTGTTTTTTAGATTCGTCAACGTCGCGCGCACCCGCAAGTCCGTGTGACGAGAGGAACTAAGAGCGGCTTTAAATTTTTCACAAAAAAAAATTTACGAGTCATTTAAAGTATAATACACAACGCGCACTCGAGTTTTGGAAAATTTATCATTTTTCCGGTTTAAAAGGAGGTTTGCTTTATACGAATGAAGATAAATCAAGGCTTTATATTCATATTTTGACAATTTTCAATGTATAAATCAATAATATATACATGCACTTTTAAAACGAGCTGCAACAATGAAAAGGCCGCATTTTAAAAGCGGCGCAATATTGCGTATTATATTTAGGTGTTTCTAGCGCATGTGTTAATAAAACCATTGTGAATCGCCAAATTTTTCAGAATATAAAAAAAAAACGAACGATAAAGAAAAGGTTCGGAAGTGCTTGTTCGCTCGCACGCGATGCGCATTATTAACTCTTTATCTCATTCGGCATCGAGCGCTCGCACGCGTGTGAGGTGCGAGGAAAAACTTTGCCCCGCGCCCTCCGAGTTTCTGCATGTGCAGTAGTAGCTTCGCAGCCGATAAATCTGCGGCGAGAGACATTAAACGCATCGAAATATGCTGCAGTTTATGGGGCCACGGCAGTACGTATATATACTTTTGGGTTATATCTTAACGCGTAAGAAAGAGAGAAAAGCGAGAGAGAGGGGAAAAAAACCGGCCCGAGAGCTATTCGGCTTTCTTCGAGGGAGCTAGCTGCGCAAAGTTTCGAGTACTATTTACACGCGCTCGTGGCTATACTATGTACGCGGCTCAAAAGTTGGCTGCATGTGCGTTCGGTGGCTATCTTTCTCGCATACACATATACACATTATAAGCGGCAACTTTGCGCGAACTTCAGAGCCTGAATGCGCTGCATCAGCCGCGAGAGAAAGAGACAAGGAGAGATGCAGATGCTGCGATAACTATTGGTTTTTGCCTATTCGAAAACTCACACTGATATAAAAAGCTTCTTCTCTCAGCTCCACGTCAAGCTCTTTTCTTTCTTTCTTCTCTCTCTCTCTCTTTCTTTCTTTCTCTTTCACTCGTGGTATGTATATGCTGTCTGATAGGCAAAAAACTTCCTCATCCCTTCTCTCTTCGCAGACTCGTACGAATCGAGGAACCAAATGCTTTCGATTGATAAAAACAATAAATTCGCTAACCGATCTTAAAGTTGAGAAAATGCCACGATAATGACCCCCAAAATAAGAGGAGCAAAGAACTTAGAAAAACATTATAAGAAGTACATTTTATAAACACACAGTACTACGGAAGCGTTAGTTCATCTCAAAGCGATTATACATTACTATAACTGCGCTCGAGTTTTTGCAGCTTCACGCACTCGCCTACTTTAGTTTTTTTATAATTTCTGAACGAGCACATTTTATAGTCTGTTGAAATTTATCATGTTTTATCATATTCCTTTGCTAAATTGGAGAGTCTACTCGGTGTCCGTCGCGAACAAGTTTTTGTGTTTGTACTATCTATCCTAGATACATTGAGTTATGTTGCCTTGAGGCTTTTCAAACATACAGAAACTTGTTACCGACTAACTATATTGCACAGGAATATAATCCTGTACTGTTATTAATTATTTCAAAATCACGCGCACTTGCTCAACTTTTACAACAACTCGTGCTGGCTTCAACAGCAAAGTCGCAAAGAATCGTTGTACACGAAAAAAAAAAAAACTAGTATAATTTTCCAGGTTACTTTGAAACACGTCGATCAATCCAGAGATCGAGCCGCGGATGCACGACGCCGCGTTGATTTTTTTTGCATATATCTCATATGCAATACGGTTGATGCAGTTTTTTCTCATTTGAAAAAGAGGCTACTCGTAATCTACTTCATTAGCCAGTACAGTGTGGCGCTGCAAAACGAGCCACGAGCTTCATTGCACATGTCAGAGTTCGCGGCATGAAAAGTTGAAGTTTATTTCATCGCAGTTGCTGCAATGTTCATACACATCCCATTCGTGTTCGCGCACGGCTAATAATACAAAAGTTTGTATTGAATTACAATATCCAGCTAATGCGACATGTTTGCTACCAGCAATTCTTTTTCTCCCCCCATATTGGTACGCAGTGCCAGCCGGAGCCTTTGAAATGACATTTTTTTCACCTCGTTCGGTTTTTT